TTTTTGCCAACATCCTCCAGAACCCCAACGATGTTCGTGCTCGATCCGATGTTAAATTAATGAGCGTGGTCGTCAGCTTCCTATCCACCCTAGTCTCCGACGAATCCAATGGCAGCATCAAGCGTATGCTAGGTCTCTGCGGTGAGTTTGAGAGAATTGCCAAGGTGGTCTTGGATAAAACCGAAAAAGAGTCTCAATCGCGAAAGAAACGCAAGAATGCAGAGGGAGAAGATTCTGCAGACGCAACCCAAGAACATCCCGCAACTGCACCCTCCGCCAAACGTACACAAGCACCACCAACCTCCACATCCTTCTCTCCTTCCATGTTTACCAACCCTACGGCTGCAGCCCCCTCGTCCGGCACAGAAGGGCCATTCCCGGGGTCCACAATGCCACCGACAAGTGGCCTTCCCGCTGACCTCCCAAGCAATGTCCATGCCATGTCTGGCCTTGGGCAGGAGTTCTCAGACATGCTGGGTCCTGATCAAATGGGAAATGTTGGATTCTCCGACCAACACTCATTCAGTGCCAGCCCTGGTATGACACCATTCCAGCAGCCGTTTGTCCCACAAGATCTCTGGCAGATGCCAATGACAATCGAGTGGGACTGGGCGGATATGTCCACCAACTTCCCTCCTTTTGATGGAGCTGGTCTGGGCGGACCGCTGCCTGGGCAGTGATAATGAGTGTATGATGAACTAGAGTCTCATCTATCGTGTTATGTAGCTCATGTCGGTGGGATTATTGTTTCCAGTGATATCTCTTCGCACCAAACCATCTCCATACCTCTTGTATATTGATGCGCTCTTACTATTTCGAAACCATCCCGAGGTCTTTATGAGTGACCAGGAGAATCATGGGTTTCCATTACGCAGCGAATGGCGCAAAGGTGGGCCCTATTTATAGGGAATAAATTTGTACAGACAGGTCTCCAATCAAATTCAAATCAATATTACACAATTTAATTCAACGACGTAAATCATAAACAACGGCTTTAAAGGAACTCACGGCTTTAAGCTAATTCCATCCGGCACCTAGACATGCGCTTCTGATGACTCATCCGGATCGGCGAAAATTTAGAACCGACTGGAACCACACGGCGTCACCTAGGACTTGGATGCCCTAGAGCTTCTCAACTCCCAGCTCAATTCTTCCTCCTCACGCCTAATCTTGATGGATTGTGATATCATCCATTACTCCTAAACTCGATTGACCATCTTTTACCCCCGCCCTCGAAGCCCTCGGGGCTCCCATTCCTCGACCATGGCTACCTTACTCCGACGGCCAGGCAATCTCGCTCGCTACTCGAGGACAGTCGCGGAATCTACCCGTCGCACGGGGCTGGCTTCCCTGCGTGTGCGACCATCAAGACTCTCATCTCTGGTTCTATCAAGCCGCGCTAGAACCTACGCTACACAAGGTCCGACACCCCCCGACGACAACAGCCGGAACAATGAACATCAAACAAACAAGCCAAAGTCAGCTTTGACTGAAGCTGAATTGGAACGTGTGGACGAATGGCTGGAAGGGATGGATCCGGTGGGCCGTAAGCAGATCCGAAACCACCTTATGAGCCATGGACTTCCACCGGAGGTCAGGAAATACCTCGATCGGAATCAACCAACGACATTGATGGATCGTATTAAGATGATGCGGTTCCTGTGGCAAGCCACAACCTCCGACGTTGCACTGGAAGAGTGGCTAAAGAAATACGAACCTGATGCTAAAGAGTTAGCAAGAAAGCGCGGTATCTCAGACTTGCACAACCCCGCTGAGAAACGTGACGAAGAATCCAGCCTCCGCTTCAATAAGGACTCAGAACAGGAGCAACAAGGGCAACAACCGGCAAAGCAGGGCGAACAGCAATCCAGCTCACAACCGCCAAAGGATCCCAAGCAAGACAAGGATCCCAAGGAGGAAAAGGATACCAAGCAAACGCAAGGTCCCAATAAGGATCAACAACAACAGAAGAAGCAACAGGGCGACAAGAAGGGCAAGGTGCCCCCGAACATGGGCAAGGTCCTCGAGTTCCGCTTCGATCCCGTTTCTTTCTTCGTTACCGCCCTCGTCACATATTACGCCTACCGCAGCTTCTTCCCCGGTGATGCTGGAGGCAGAGAAATCACCTGGCAAGAATTCCGGGCGAACTATCTCGAGAAGGGCCTTGTGGAGAAATTGACCGTCTTGAACCGCACCAAGGTTCGGGTTGACCTCAACGGCGAAGCTGCGGCCCAACCCGATTCAAATGGTCAGCCTGCCTCCTATGTCTTCTTCAGTATTGGTTCTGTCGACAGCTTTGAGATGAAGATCGAGGCAGCTCAGAACGAACTGGGTATTCCATCGCATGAACGCATCCCTGTCGCCTATCACGACGAAACCCCATGGGGCGGCGTCTTGATGTCATTAGCTCCTACTCTTCTCTTCCTTGGTGGTGTCTTCTGGATGTCACGTCGTGCCGGTGGCGGCGCCGGCGGCCAGAGTGGAATCTTTGGCATCGGCAAGAGCCGTGCCAAACGCTTCAATCACGAGACTGATATCAAGACTAAGTTCGCCGACGTTGCGGGTATGGACGAAGCTAAGGTTGAGATCATGGAATTCGTTAGCTTCCTTCAGCAACCCGAGCGGTTCGAGAAGCTAGGTGCAAAGATCCCCCGTGGTGCCATTCTCTCAGGTCCTCCCGGTACTGGTAAGACATTGCTTGCTAAGGCCACTGCTGGTGAATCTGGCGTGCCTTTCTACAGTGTCAGTGGTTCGGAGTTCGTCGAAATGTTTGTCGGTGTTGGTCCCTCTCGTGTCCGCGATCTCTTCGCCAATGCCCGGAAGAACACCCCCTGCATTATCTTCATTGATGAAATCGATGCCATTGGAAAGTCTCGAGCAAAGTCGAACGTTGGTGGTGGAAACGATGAGCGTGAAAGCACTCTCAACCAGATTCTCACTGAGATGGATGGTTTCAACACCTCTGAGCAAGTGGTCGTCCTGGCTGGTACCAACCGACCGGATGTTCTCGACAAAGCCCTCATGCGTCCCGGACGGTTCGACCGACACATCTCCATTGATCGACCTACCATGGACGGTCGTAAGCAGATTTTCCGTGTTTACTTGAAGAAGATTGTCACCGACGAGAACCTGGAGTACATGGAGGGCCGACTTGCCGCTCTGACTCCCGGTTTCGCTGGTGCTGATATCGCCAACTGCGTCAACGAGGCTGCTCTTGTTGGTAAGTTTTTATGCATAGTCTCTTCGCTGTATTTTATCAAAGCTAACAATTCCCCTCTGCAGCTGCCCGTGGAAACGCAGACAAGGTTGTCATGAAACACTTCGAGCAAGCCATCGAACGAGTCGTTGGTGGGTTGGAAAAGAAGTCCCTTGTCCTCTCTCCCGAGGAAAAGCGGACCGTCGCTTACCACGAGGCTGGCCACGCTATCTGCGGTTGGTACTTCAAGTGGGCTGACCCGCTGCTGAAGGTGTCGATCATCCCTCGCGGACAAGGCGCACTGGGATATGCGCAATACCTCCCCGCTGGTGGCGACACATATCTGATGAACGTCAACCAGATGATGGACCGCATGGCCATGACTCTGGGTGGCCGTGTCAGCGAAGAGATACACTTTGACAGCGTTACTAGCGGTGCTAGTGATGACTTCAACAAAGTCACTCGCATGGCTACTGCCATGGTGACTAAGTTCGGCATGTCGTCCAAGCTTGGTTACATCTACTACGAGGATGACGGACAACAGCAACTCCACAAGCCTTTCTCTGAGGATACTGCCCGCTCTATTGATTTGGAGGTTCGCCGTATCATCGACGAGGCCCACAAGCAGTGCCGCGACCTCCTGACCGAGAAGAAGAAGGAGCTCGGTATTGTTGCCGAAGAGCTTCTGTCTAAGGAGGTTCTTGGGCGCGACGACCTCGTCCGTCTCCTTGGCCCGCGCCCCTACCCCGATTCTGGCGAGTTCGCCAAGTACTTTGATGGCACGGGCGGCAAGACCATTGCTCCACCGGACTTCCAGGACCCCGAACAAACCGCTGGTAAGGATGGCCGGGATGAGACACCTATCCCTCCTTCATAGGTTAGGGGACTGTGCTTATTTGCATCCTTGCGCTTTGGTTTGGTTGTGGTTCAATTTTGGGGGGCATGATATCACTGTAGCCTCTCTTTTTGTATTTATCGATTGCATCTCCCGTTTCTTCTCCCCTCTCATCTTCTCTTTTCGTCTACTCTCACCCACAACACCTTACCCTCCTTCCTCCTCTCGTGCTCAATAAGAAGATCGTTTCCCTTTTTTTTATTTTCTCTCATTTGTCCCCCTGTTCATCTCCGTGCCCGAGTGGATCTGTACAATTTGTACTGAGTGTATGATAGGGAGTTTTATTGAAACATGTCTTAGATTGGAAGTTCATGTCTCTCTTACACGTAAATATTGTTGAATCGCCGCCGTAAAAACCACCGAGGAACGTTGAATCAGAGTCATTGGCTAATAATGTATCCAAGTCTGCTTTGATAGCAATGACACATTCAAGACGTGCGAATGTCTTACGCTTTATATCCCCAATTACTCCGTTTGAGGCATGTCTAAAACACCTCCAAGAAATTGACTCAATTTAAGACTTCTTTATTATGAATGCAAAGCTAGTGCATACAAACCTACAAAGAGACTCAAGGCGAAGAGGACAAACGACCCAGCTATGAAGATGACATTGATCTATATAGGTGAAAGAACTCAAGACTAATCATGATCATAGTTATCATAATCAAGTTATTGGCAATATAGTTCAATCCCCCAAACCCTGCAGCGAAGACGATATCCCGATTCTACCGTCCAGACCGTTTGAAAGAAAATCTTCTCGGCCCTGAGAACTATAAGGATTGGGCGGACCGAATGATGAAGAAGCTTGAGCAATGCGGCGGATTGTGGATCACTAATACTGATATGGAGATACCGGCGCACCACAGCTTGGGCACACAACGCATCTAGCCTAACCTGAATCTTTGGATGATGGTTGTCAGCAACGTCTCACAGCCCATACGACGAGAACTGTGTGCTTCAAAGGCATTGGATGCACAGCAGGCATGGCAATTTCTGGAGAAGACATATGGAAGAGACGTTCCCATGAAGATGCGTTCAGTCCAGGGCTTACGTGACATCATGGGTATTAGGTATGACAAGTGCGTGTCACTGAAAGAATACATAGAGAAGATGGTGTTGTGCAGCCGAGCGATTCAATGTAACCGCGGAGTGAAAGGCCGTGACGACGGAGGGCAAGATAATGGCCGGAGAAAGAACCGCAACCGCTCAAGAAGTAGGGATGAAACTAACGAATGGCTATGGTGCCAGTTCATCTTGGTGAATCTTGGTCCGGAGTGGGAGTGCTGGGTCTCTGAGCTGGTGGGGAAATTTGAAGATAAAGAGAAAATGAATGCTGCAATATGCACCTTCAGAGGACTCTTCCCAGTCATCGAAGCAGAACAGGCACGCCGCGTTCAAGCTTCTCGTTACTCGAAGAATTGAGGTGCGTGACCATGTGCTAAAAAGACCTGTCAACAGATATCCATGTTTCCAGTTCGTTGCAATGAGTGATTAGTGCCTGGAAAAATTAGAAAATTGTGTGCAATTTGTCAAAATCGATAGATTTCAGAGGTCCCAAGAAAACGTATAAAATCACAAAAAAACATGTCCACCCATCTGGTATATATTCCTTCATCTGCTTATATATCAACCCACAAATCAAGTGCTCTTCTTGCTAGCCTTCTTGGTCTTCTTCGCCTTGACGGATAGGCGAGGGATAAACCTGCCAACGCGAGCCTGGTAGTCGCTGTATTCGGGGTACTTGCCAGCGGTGATAGCCTCGGTTATACGCACGCTACACTGGAAGACAGCAAGGTATCCCAAAACGCCCAGACCGGCCCAGTTGAAGTAAGTCTCGGTGCGGTAACAGGACCACGCATACATGGTCAACCAAAAGGCCTGCTCGGCAACGAAATTGGGGTGTCGCGACCAAGACCAGAGGCCGCTGACAACAAAGCCCCGCTCAAGATCTTCGGCGGAGAACTGGTCCTTGTAGGGCTCGGGAATGCGCGCGTTGGTTTGGTACTCCTTCTTAGCAGACTGGAACTTCCACTGCTGCCCGTCGGCGAAGAATTCAATAATGATAAAGAAAAACGCAGCACGGGAGAAGGCCAAGTCGGGAAGGCCAAAGACCTCGGTTCCTTGGTTGTATGCGGCGACAACAAAGATGTAGGTCGGAGCGGTGATGAAAAGGAGCAACAGCGACTGAGCGATTGCAATGAATCCGAGGTTGAGGAGCATGAACAAGAAGCTATTGTTCACTTTAGAGCGCACGATCTCCCAGCGGTAATCTTCCGAGCCGATCGAATAGCCTCCTTTGCGCCAGTAGTTGAAAGTCAAGCGAACCTATCCCATAACTCGAGTCAGCATATGTCAAAACTCGGATGTAGAGCCAACTCACACTCCAGAGAACACTGATGACAGCGATTGTATCCACAGTCTGGGTCTGGATGCCGGACAAACGAGCCCAGAGGGCGAAATGCACATTATACAGCGCAGGGAGAATGCTCCAAAACCGGTCTACTTGTGACCAGTTTCGGTTGATCTCGGCCGCGATGAAAAATAGACCAGCCAGGACTCCACAGAGCGCAAGCGCAGAGACGAAGGGGTTGGTAGCTAGATAGACGGCTCGCAAGCTATACACATCGCTACCAGCTTCGCGCAAACTGTCGGGCAGCCATTGCAGCTGAGACAAGTAAGGGGAAACGGTGAGCTCAAATGAGGTATAATCCAAAAGGGACTCCACACGAGGAAGTGGTAGAGATGCCATTGCTGTGCTCCGTACTATATATCGTCAAAAGGCCACGGGAGAAAAGACAAACAAAACCTTTGGCAGTGTTTGCTGTGGAGATGGACGGGTAGATTTACCCATTGGGAATAGCGTTCCTAGATGGGAATAGCGTGTTCCAAAGTATTATGTGCCTCAGGCACCACAGCGCGTCTCAGGCATCGAATCTCTTCGCGCCCGAATCATTCCAGAACAAGATGTGATCGACATGACATTCAAGGCCACCACCACTATGAACCCCATGTGATCAAGATCGGGGCTCGATCATGGCTCGTAAAATTCTATGTGTGGCTGAGAAACCTGCCATTGCTCGCACAGTGGCCACTCACTTATCGGGAGGTTCTTTTCAAACAGTGGGTTCCCTTTTGAATAATTCTGATGATCCAGCTAACATAGAACCTAGCGTGCGATTCGTGGGAATCAATATGTGAAAAACTATGAATTTGATTTCGATTTTGGTGGTGCCTGGGGCAACTGCTCGGTCACCATGACCAGCGTAGTGGGCCATCTAACTGGCCTGGACTTTGATCGCCAGTACAAAGGCTGGCAGTCATGTCCTCCAGGGGTACTATTTGAGGCTCCTGTGCAAGAGACTGTTGATAAGGTGGGCAAATACTCCTCAGCTATCTTGCCTGCATGCTAACGTCTTCACTAGGACAAGCTACCAATTGCGGATAATATCCGGGACCAAGCCAAGTATTCCAAAGCCCTATTTATTTGGACTGATTGTGATCGCGAAGGCGAGCATATTGGTTCTGAGGTCCGTAACCAGGCAAAAGCAGGAAATGCTCGGATCGAAGTTAAGCGAGCCAAGTTCAGCAACACAGAAAGCGCGTAAGTAATGTTGACTGTTTTAGTGTCTACTCAAACTGATCTGAAGATATAGACATGTTCGTCGGGCTGCTCTAGAGCCAGTCAATCTCGACGAATATCAGGCTAGTGCTGTAGCCGCTCGAATCGAGCTGGATCTTCGAATCGGCGCTGCATTCACCCGCCTACAGACTCTACAACTACAAACAGTGGTGGCAGCCTTGAAGGAAAAAATCATTAGCTATGGTAAGCTGTCAATCATTATAGATACAAGAAAAACATTAACAAGTTAGGATCTTGCCAATTTCCTACTTTAGGATTCGTTGTCGACCGATACTTGAGAGTCAAAAATTTCAAACCAGAAACATTTTGGGGCATCAAGGTCATACTCAGCCGTGAAGGCAAGAAGGTCAACTTTCTCTGGAAGCGGGTACATCTATTTGATCGAGCAGTCGTGACAATGATGTTAGAGCGGTGTTTGGTTGCAAAACAAGCCAAAGTCACAAAAGTGAACCAGAAGCCTACAAGCAAATGGCGACCGTTGCCCTTGACCACGGTAGACCTACAGATGATGGGCAGTCGATTTCTTCGTTTGGACAGTCAGACTATCATGAAGGTAGGGAAACCACTCTCATATTGGATTATATCTAACAAGCTCAAAGGTAGCAGAAGGACTTTACACTAAGGGGTTCATCAGCTATCCCAGAACCGAAACAGACCAGTTTGACAAAGCAATCGACCTGAAGAAATTGATCGAAAAGCAATACCCCGACAACTCATGGGGCCAATACGCTCGAGAGTAAGCTTACTGGACTTGCCTTCCATATACAAAACTAATTCCTATCTAGACTTATTGATGGCAAGTTCAGGACTCCCCGCTCTGGCCGCCACAATGACAAGGCCCATCCACCCATTCATCCTGTCAGTTGGGTCTCACCAAATTCATTGAATGCCAATGAAAAGAAGGTCTATGAATTTGTTGCTCGTCGATTCCTCGCCTGCTGTTCTGATGATGCGAAGGGCCAAAGCACAGCGATTGAGATTCAATATGGTGACGAATCCTTCCATGCCAATGGTCTTGTCGTGTTGGAGAGAAATTACTTGGATGTATACGTCTACGATAAGTGGGAAAGCAGTCAGCAACTTCCCAAGTTTGAGATTGGGGAGCTCTTTGAGCCCACAGAAGCCAATATTTTCGAAGGCAAAACAACTGCTCCGAACTATCTGACTGAGCCCGAGCTTATTGGCCTGATGGATGCCAACGGGATTGGTACAGATGCCACGATGGCGGAGCACATTGCCAAAATCAAAGAACGTGAATACGTCGCCATAAACCAACGAGGCAGTGGCCGCAGCTCAGTGCAAGAGTTTATTCCAACCCGTTTAGGTGTTGCCCTTGTGGAAGGGTATGACAATGTTGTTGAGGGTCTCCCTAACAGTGTGTCTCTCAGCAAGCCGTTCCTTCGCAAGGAAATGGAATTGAACATGCTGCAGATCTGCTCAGGCACCAAGACTCGACAGGAGGTCGTCCAGCAGAGTCTAGACATGTACCGAGAAGTCTTCATTCATACACAGAGGCGCATCAACATGCTAAAATCTGCCTGTCGCAAGTATCTTGTTGAAGAAAATGCATCATGATTGTTAGTCACTTAGAAAAGGCATCATCTAGAATTAATTATTCAATCGATTGTTTTTAAGCCACTGACCAATAGTTAAATCTTTCAAACATTTAAAGAAAAAGAAGAGAAACAAGTCATAAAATTCCCTATTATACAGATACGAAATTAAAATCTTCCCATATCTTAGGGTCAAACCCTGGCCATTGTGCTAAACTAAGCCTCCTTTTCCATTCCTAAGGCCGACAGCTCAATCCAAAGTGTGAATTCCGTGGGGTCTCTCCGCTGTGTTGCATTTGGAAGCTCCATTGATCCGGTCGTTGGTAGGGCTTTTGTTCAAATCAAACTCGGCTGGTTCGCGCATAGTTCGTCAGGTATGTCGGTGAACATGGCTTTTGCCAGTAGTAGGTTAAGCCAAGCCGACTCTCTCGGTAGGGCCTATGTTCAAATCAAAATCGGGCTGTTCCACGCGCAATTCGTCAGGTAATTCGGTGTCGGGGTACATGGTTTTCGCCAGCAGTATGTTAAGCCAGGCCAACTGTCTCGGAATATGAGGGAAACTTTCAGTATTTTTCATGAGACCCTGGTGTTGTTCACTAACCTTCTCTAGCTTGGCGTCTAGGTCTATTATACCAGACGTGTATTTGTTTTCCATCATACCAACAAGATGCAGCAAACAATGTTGAAGGTCGTCCGAGGCATTTCGGATTGATTCCGCCAGGTGAACGAAAACAGGCCGTACTTGTTCATTTTCTCTTCGAAACTGTTGGATCTCCAACATCAATATGCCGAATTGTTCTTGCACGGCCCTCATTCGGCCGAAACAATTGTATTTCAAGTGCTCGATGTCGTACTTGATGTTGCTTGCCGTCACAAAACCCATAATTTGAAACATGAGAGTAATCAAAACGAGCGCAGTCACGATAGTGAAATACAGCGTGTTATTTTGGTCTGGGTTGGACTGCTGCAGCTCCTCGGAACGAAGCTCGGTTGCCGAACCGTCGTTCACATAGACCGATTTTGGCATTGCTGTGGAACTCGGATCGAACATGGACGCTGTAACTCCTGGGATGTTGATTTGCAGTGATGCTGCTTCAGCCGATTGTTCCAGGGCCAGCCTGGCATTTTCGTACTGTTGAGCATGGAGTGAAAGTTGCTGGAGAAGGTCGTATGCTGAGGTTGCGTCATCATGGGGGAAGACTAAAGGGTGAACTTTGCGCAGTTCGTGAATGGAATAGGCAATTTCCAAGGAGCTGAGACTGCGCCAGAAAAAGGAATTGGAAGGAGTGACCCCGGTCAACGGAATAGAATGCCAGAGGCCAATGCTACTGAGGCCGACAAAAATGATTCCTGGCACCAGTTGGTCGAACATCATGGTCTTTGTATCAGATCAGTGAGATTCAAAAGATTCAAGAGGGAATCTCCGTCTTTCTCGGTGTCTTGGGAGCTTAAATATAAGATCAAGATAAAACAATGAATAGGCAACTCTTTGTTCAATTCACTGTGTGTATTCAAACTTGAATAAACATTGTTTTCGGGGTGATTGTTTGAGGGCTACATTATGTACACTTCTTTGTTTGGTCCGTTTGGGCTTTTATTAGGCTCTCCTTTTGGACTTCTTCTTAAATCCCTTATTCTTGCCATGGCTATAAGATTTATCTAGAAAGATATCAGGCGACCTGATCATATTCAACATTAAGGCCTCATGTTTTTTGAATCAAATGGTCTAAAAATACACAATGGGCACAAAGAACATCATTCACAATACCTGTACAAAGAGACCCTACCTGTCAGACAGCTTTAAACTCAGTTTCATTCAATCATGGCTTTTCTAGAAATGCTATCCCTTTCATCGTGGTGAAAGGAGTAGGTCTATTACGAAGATACGGGGAAATTTCAGAGCAAACAAAAGCATTATTATCACACTAGTCATTATTTATACTGTTATTCATACTATAGAGTATTGATCTTAATTAACTTGTAATATGCTAGGTCAAGCTGGCAACAAAGGCATAGGTGAATCTTTGAATGAATTTTATGATGCAGTTAGCCATATTCTTCATCTGTAAGTTGAAAATGAACATGAAACTTGGTAGAAGCAAAGAGCCGTTTTTACGTATTTGTCATAGGTAGCATAGCCAACCATACATTCCATTTGTCTATGCTCACTAGGGGGTGCCTAGGATAAATGAAACGTGTATATTCTACGGAAGATAGAGAGGTGCTGATGGCAGGACTACTAGGGAACTTGAAATTGTCTCAGATTGTTCATGGCACCACAAAGACATTACCAATCTAGTGATCAAGTTCCAGGTTACATGCGTGAATGCCGGAATTGAATAATTTATTCATCTCATTCAATGATAAACTTATGAGTTCAGAGCGTATGCAAATTGTTGATGGAGATGTAAAAAGAGGCAACCTCTGCCATTTAGTTTGGCGCAGTATTCTCATCACCGTCCTCGTTATCATCGCTTCCCTTGTCCTCATCATTGTCCTCATCATTGTCCTCATCATTGTCCTCATCATTTTCCTCATCGTTGTCCTCATCATTGTCCTTATTATCGTTCTCTTCGGATTCCAGCAGAGAGTTGTACCACCGAATAGCGACATCTTTCTGGTCTTTTGGCAACCGACCCCATGGATTCATCGCAACCTGAGCGCCATGCCTTATCAGTTGTTGGCGAAGCTTGGTGGTGGAAGATATAGGGACCTGGATACAGTTAACAAGCAAGCTTGGATAGTCTTAGAATAAGGCACTGATATGTTTGTGTTGGCAACTCGGTACACGACAATAGACCTCGCCATGATACACAGTTACTTGACCAGCAGAGTCCTGCTCATTTAGTAAAAGTTTCTGTTCATTCTTCTTCATGTTAACTTACGGTCGTGTAAGGTGGGAGCTTAATCTCCTAGGCCTCAGCTCTGATAAGGTACTCTCTGTACGCATCGCAGTTTCGTAAAAAGACGGGACAGTTGTAACTGTCTAGTAAGGAATCAGGGAGAGCCATTTCAAATTATGCCTCGATCTGAGGAGGGTTGTGTTCTGATAGAAGAAAGTTGGTGTGATGGAAGAGAGGTGAAGAGGAAAGTTGTTGCTCAAGTGAGATGGGTAACTCCTAATCAACTTTGATCTTTCCCTCTTCTCTTCCTCTCCAGTCATCATCTCCTTTCTTTTGAAACTTCGGCCATCTCGACTCTACTCGTTATTCGCCCCTCAACTCCTACAACCACCATAGACTTCTCATTCGCATGCCCGAGCGATGTAACTCTCACTATAATTGAAGAGCCGAATGAGAACAACAGCAACAAAACAAAGAAGGCCTTGGTTCACCTTGATCGTTCAAAGTTGATTAAGACAGTGCATACTTTCAATCAATGTTCTCACCTCGGTGGGAACGAGCCGGAAACCACAACCCAACTCTAAAGGGCGGCACAGTCAAGAGCATGGAAGTTATGTTGGGATCAATCCACTGATTGGACACCAAGCCAGAGTCTGTCTCTGCTGCAAATGTTTGGTACACAATCAGGGCTTGTAATAAGTGCCTAGTAAATCCCAAGCTCATGGGTCGGCGGTCCACACGCTGGATTAAATTGATTGACCAGGAAAAACCTGCGACCTTGGAAGATTGCTACTTCAACCGCCAGCTTCTGTTTCCTTGTAATTTTTTGACCATGCAAAGGCATTTCGGCACATTTCAAAGAGACCTGTCTACACCACCCCGGGCCAAATCACAGAAATGGCCCCGATAGACTCGCCGGAATTTGAGCCAATGCATATTCCCCCTATAGTCATGTGTAAGTTGACATGACTAACAGCTTCAAGGTCAAATAATTCTAACTCGCAAAGAGAGCAATTGAATGCAGCCAGAGGACGGCTAGGGACGGTTCTCCAAAAATCGCTTTTCGAAGACGTGAATGTGACTATCGATCGTGTTCGTTGTGCCTGTACTACGCACACTCCTTGAATTGTATTCCAAGGAGACAGAACGGTGAGAGATTCTTGGAATCTCAGCAGGATAATCGACTTCTCTTCGCAGATACAATCAGACGCTTGGTACTGTCTGGAACCTGGATGACTGTAAACGCAGAAGTGGCGTTTTGATAATCACAGCCCAAATGAAAGTGGCCTAGGTAGATGTAGGATGAGTAATTGTGGGTGAGTGATCTCGGGAATGATCATTGATGATAAATATCAAAAAATGTACAGCTAGATCCGGTGTCCAGTGTACGAGTAGCCAATGAAAGAGGCTTGTAGCAACTATAAATTGCGGGTAGATGCTGCGGACCAATGATGCTCGCTTGAGCCATCATGAGTCATGATGATTAAGTTGCACTAGCCTGTTTTCGGACTTGTGTTAACCCCAAAGCGGGTTAGTGCGGGCCGGGTGAGGATACTATACCAAACATAGGTCCACGGGTACTCAGTTCACTTACCTATGTATGTATATAAGTAGTTCTTGTCTCCATTTGCTTGTCTCTCCCAATCCAACAATCTCGTCCACTCAACTGCCACAGAGAATGGCTGAGAAACATCCTATCGAGGATATACGCGCTCCCGAGGAAAACAGCCTGTCGGCTGGCGACGGCGACTCTCGAGCAGACGATACGAGCGACTACAAGCTGACTGGCATCTCACTAGTCCTAGTCATAACTGGACTTGGTCTTTCTATATTCCTCATGTCGCTCGACTCATCCATTATTGCCACGGCTATTCCCCGGATCACGTCACAATTCAACAGCACCAGTGACATTGGCTGGTATGGAAGTGCATACTCCTTTGCGATGTGCGCTCTGCAGCCTGTCGCAGGTAAACTTTTTGCAAGCTTTGCAATGAAGGTAAGATTATCCAAAGCTTCCACTTAGAGATAAAGCCCCCATTAACAGTATTAGGGCATGTTCCTCGGATGTCTTGCGGTCTTCGAACTTGGCTCATTGCTCTGTGCCCTTGCTGTTAATAGCTCTATGCTCATTGTTGGGCGTGCTATAGCTGGAATTGGGGCAGCAGGGTGCTTTACAGGAGCCTTCTGTATTGTTGCGGTTTCCATCCCGCTGGTTGAGCGACCCTTCTATATTGGAATCCTTCAGTCAACCTTCGGCATTGCCACCATCATCGGACCCGTATTAGGTGGAGCATTCACGGAGCATATGACATGGCGGTGGTGTTTTTGGATCAATCTCCCTATCGGTGCCGTCACCATCTTCTCATTGGTATTCTTCTTCAAACCGCCTACGCGCGACTCGACGAAAGCTCCTTCGGTTCTTCGCAGACTGCAAAACTTGGACTTGCTGGGTGCTTCTCTCTTTGCCCCGGCCATTATCATGATCTTTTTGGCTCTTCAATGGGGAGGGACTGAGCATTCTTGGAAGAGTGCTTCTATCATTGGTCTCTTCATTGGAGGCGCAGGTCTCGGCCTTGTCTTTGCTCTCTGGCAAATACAAAGGGGTGATAATGCCATGATTCCTCCACGTCTGATTAGTGAGCGCACGATGTTCTTCTCTTGTTTCAGCGAGTTCTTCGCCATGGGTGCTGTTTATATCTCGATCTACTACCTCCCTGAATGGTTCCAGGTCATCAAAAATGCCTCGCCAACAAAATCTGGAGCCATGTACCTCCCTTTAGCGCTGTCAGATGTCCTCTCTGCAACCCTAACAGGTGCGTCACTTAAGTACCTTGGATACCCAAACCCCTACATGCTCCTTGGAACAGGCTTGATGAGCATAGCAACGGGACTCTTCTCTACCTTCTCCCTAAGCACCCCCCACCAGCAGTGGATCCCATTCCAAGTCCTCCAGGGTCTTGGTGTGGGAATGACTCTCTCAATGCCCTATGTTGCGACACAAACAGTCCTCAAGCCCGAAGATATTCCTGTCGGTACCTCATTACTGCAATGCTTCCAATTCTTCGGGGCTTCCGTGAACCTCGCCATCGCGGAGGCTATCTTTGAGAACAAACTTGTCTCGCGACTGGAGAGTTGGGGATTTGAGAGCCACGAGATAGAGAACATCCTCAGTGCAGGCTCCGCCGAAGCAAGGAGCGTGGTTTCTGCGGCGCAGCTTCCGGGCGTGTTAGATGCATACAACCATGCGATCACCAGGACCTTCTACGTCGCAACCAGTGTTGCCGCTGTTGCATTCCTCCTTTCACTCGGTATCCGCTGGAGAAGTGTCAAGCCAAAACCCCAGGCTACTGTCTCTGATGAGGAGGCTAGGTCGTCAAGCCAGTAGGCTTCGATGGCACTGATTAATTCAACAAAATATAGAAGACGAAGGGCTCTGGGATGTGAGCCTGAGTGTATCGCAGATAATCACACCTTGCAGCTCGAATCACTATTTAGATATTTTTAGAATAATGATGCATAATTAGCGATTTTTTTATACAGATATGAAAGCGTTGTTCATTACAGATTCTGGGCCTCTTTATTTGTCCATATAGCACATGTTAAAATGTGTTTCTTGCTCTAGTTATCTCAATATCAAATAGTACACTCCCAACAATCAAGTTATAGCACAGTCCTGTAGAGGTTCTTATATATCTAGTACTTACCATCTCTCTCTTATCGATGAGCCCCACGGTACCACGAACAAACCCAAGTGCAAATTCTCTTGGATATCAATGGAGAATATGAAAAAGCGTTTAAGCGTAAGCTCGGTTTGAGGTGGGCGGTTAGAAAATGAACTCAGGGACCCATCACATCGCCCTCGAGTCTGCAGGGAAGGTCAAAAGATACTTGTTTAGAGAGGGACCTTCATGTTGCTAGAGAATATTACGCATGTTACCTAGGTAGGAAGTCGAAGCGTTAGTCAGTAGCTGCTTCTTCTTCTTCTTCTTCTTCTTCTTCTTCTTCTTCTTCTTCTTCTTCTCTTTACGCCAGTTATGGTGCATATCGCTCAAGTCTCCGCGGTGATTCCTCATGTCTAAACCCCGCCGGCATGAATATTTATGACACCAGTTGCGTTTTTGGACTGATGAAATCAACCGACGGTTATAAGCCTTGGCAATTTCCGAAGGTTAAGGTCAACCTCCCGGAAGATTTTTGTGAGTGAATCCTCTCGTTATACCTTGGATTTCTACTAACTACCTATAATCAGTCCGTGACCTCAAGTTTTTTGAAACCTTCACTAAACGCGCCAAGCCCACAGAAACCAGGCTGCGCTATAAACTGGACCTCCTGATAAACGCTGTTTGTCGATCCCTCTCCGCATAAAATCTGCTAGTAAACGGACCTACTGTTACACTGGCCCATGAAACAACCGTGGGTTGGGGCCCGGTCCTATACAAAGGCGAGCCACATACGTGTGTTTGAAGAGCGGATTACAGCTTTTTTTTGGAGAACATGATCATCTAGCTTGTCACGTGGTCATTATTGAAGCTGAACAACTGTGTGGAAAGGGCCATGAGCAACTACTAGCCTATATGGCTATGATACAACCCAACCGGAAGAAACGCGGGCAGTCCGATTGGACCGTATATGGCGTGCTCAGCGACGGGGAGGTCTTCACATTCTATCATTTGGATATGAATAGCGAGTTTACGCTTCTTTTTCTATTGCCAATGTGCTAGCTTCCTCCATCCTTGGAGGGATGGAAACTTGTGCTTCGCCTATCCGATCAAGTTTGGCGAGTAATCATTCTGGTTGGGGCTCTCACCGGCGGCCGTCACCTCAGATACTTCATATTAATACCATCCCATCCATTACAGGCATGATGGACGTGGACATGAAGATGTAAATGTTTTTATGTTTTGTTTCACGACCTGACCAGGAGGCTCGTTATATCATTAACTAGTTATATACTTACGACGCAGTACAGACGCTATGCCCAAGATGTTACAAACGAATGCGGAATTACAAATTCGTTTTGGATTCTCTACACTTTCTCCTCTTGATAATATCTATTTATAAGTAACCAGCTCCTAAGCTACCTAGGTAGTACTATGGGGCTTCTTATAATTACGATTCTAAGGGACTACATACATGTATAAATGTTGATGGCGACTGGTTAACTTTTGGCCGGCGAAAAACCCGGTTGACGCGACGGACACAAAAACCTGCCATAGACGAAGGTCGACATGCAGAATGTGTGGAGAGATAAAATTGGGCGGTCACCATCGTCCTTGTGGGCTACCACTTAGACGCGGTTAAGGACCTCTCAGCTGTCATGCAATGTCTCTTTGAACCTAGCGCATAGGCCCAATACCCTTTGAGCCCCGTTGACCAAGCTCCCCAAAACCTTTACAGCGCTACAGCCTTTTGAGTATCGATCGCTCTACCCCTCATCCAGACTGAATACCTGGGCCTCATCTCCTGATGGCTAGCTCATCCTGCCTTTTTCCAAGCCTTGAGGTGAACTACACATTTCTACTTGTGATATTACTTGTTACATGTGGAACTTGCCCTATGGCAGTCTCCCAAGTCACCTTTGAGATAAATAGTATCTACCTGTCTATCATGCATGCTAGTATCGTTTTGATGTGAGAAATGTCTCTTAGTGCCAAGCATCCCCGCAATTCCATCCTACCGCGGCCAAATGTATTCGGCTTAAATGATACCGACATATTAGGCGATCTGAGAAGGACGGTGCATATCTTCCTTTAAATGGCGTAGCTTTACGGCATTTTATTCGTGCAACATTATTTCCTCGGGTAAAGAAATATATCCGTGCGAAGCAAAGTGATGTTGATCACTCGTTGGGTTGATTGGCACAGGTAACAAGTACGAATCTATATCTATAGTCGGATTCTGATAGACCGAGGAAAGGGAAAATTGGCGAGGTAGACTGAATAGTGTCTTAAGAAGTATAGAAAGACAGCTAAACAGCCTTCCATGTTCCTCCTTTGTCCACATCTTCTCTCGCCATGTGTTTATCGATTCCAATCATTCTGTCGCTTCTGATAGTATCATTGAGTCCTGCGGCAGCCAAAGTACATCAGAAGAGTTGTGTGATCAAGAGTGGTGGAACTAATGTGACCAATGATGCCCCGGCAATTCTGAGGGCATTCAGAAAGTGTGGCCACAATGGAAGAATCGTGTTTGAACCCACCACGTACTATGTCAACTCGGTCATGAACATTTCCTGGCTCGAAAATGTTGACATTGACATCCACGGAACGCTTCTGGTACATCTTCCCATTGTTTGGGCATTGTGTTGATATCTAAACCCGATTGCTAACGATCTACCCCGTATTAGTGGAGCACTGACCTCCCATACTGGCTGGACAATTCGATGGATGTCGGATATCAGAATCAATCAACAGCTCTGGTAATCGGCGGTAATAATGTTCGCATCAACGGATATGATAAAGGCACGTTTGACGGTAACGGTGACTACTGGTATCAGTGGATCAGAGACCAACCAAACACATCCAACTACCCTGGCCGGCCGCACGCTGTGACATTTGACAACCTTACAAACTCTGTCATTCGTGGGCTCACCTTCCTGAGGAGCCAAATGTGGTATGTGAAAAATTGGACCTTCGTCTCGAACACCCCATATACGCGATGGTCTTTGCTTGCTAACCGTGACCCTAACCCCCAAAGGACTATGTCAATAATTAACTCTCACAACGTGTTGTTGGACAGTATTCTTGTCAATAACACAGGAAACTGGGCACAAAGCTGTAAGACTTCAGGGGAGAACGCAGCCTGTACTAGAAAGTACTGACTAGACACAGCCAACACCGATGGAGCGGATACCATCCGGTCTTCTCATATCACATTCAATAACTGGACCGTCTACAATGGTGACGACAGCCTTTCCATGAAGGCTAACAGCACCGATATAACTATCACAAACAGCAAGTTCCACAATGGTCTAGGTATTGCGATGGGGAGTATTGGGCAGTACAAGGATCAATTCGAAACGATTGAGCGGATTACGGTCAAGAACGTCGAGTATGACAACACATTACATGCTGTAAGTGACTAGAACAAGAACAGCATATATAGGCCCGACAACCATGGGAATAAGGTTCTAACACTAATATGCCTTAGTTCTACATCAAAACCTGGACTGCCGACCAGAATGGCTACCCACCAAACGGAGGCGGCGGTGGACTCGGGTGTAAGTATTTGATGGTTCACTCCCGTTCCACCTACTATTGAATCGGGGAGTGACTGAGGTGCTAACATATCCAGTCGCGTCTGGAATGAAGCTCACAAACCTAACTACAACAGGGCTTCGCGGGGCTGCATTCGCGATCTCTCAGTGCACTCGATTCTCAGGTGCACCGGGTGAGGGGAACTGCACGAATTCGGAATTTCAGGTCCGAAATATAAAGATCGATGGGCTGTCCGGTACCAGCGAGTCGACAAGGCTGGCGAGTCTCCAGTGTAGTGCGGTCGCGCCGTGTACCAACATCACCATTGTTGACAGTACCCTACACCTCGACAACGGCACAGTCGCGAGTGGGTACTTGTGTGGGAATGTCGCAAATCCGATAGGGTTCAACTGTACTGGGGTGCCTTGTGTGGGTGGAAGCTCCACTGGGGAGTGCTGAAGGATTATTGGCAGTGGATCATCGCCGGTATGCATGATAGCAAAGGGGATCAATGAACAGTCGCCGCAATATAAGTGCAATATATAGGTACATTGGTCAGTTTGAGCATAAGTAATGAATCATGGCGGAAACTAACACAACAATCCGATGTAGTGTAGGGGTTATCACTGTGCTCTTTCACAGCACTAACGGGGGTTCGAATCCCCCCATCGGAGTTTCTTTTTTTCTCTTTTGTTTTTTATACACCCTATTTTTGACCTCCATTTATCTATTTGCACATGTTGTGAAGTCAATAATGATACCAAGTGTAGGGTAAGTAAGTAAAAGGCTAGGCGTCTTTTTTCCCACCTCGACACTACACATGTCCTAGTTTAGTTATACGTAGATTAGTCGATTTCTTAAATTGAGCCTCTTCCCGCTTTATTTCCGTCGTCTACCTGCCTATGAAACTGAGGGGGGGGAGACATCTTAGAGAGGGACAGCTTAGTATGATACCTAAGAGGACCGCTGTAGGGACATCACACGGCCGCATAGGCGGCCAGCTATTCTTGTTATGCATAGCGCAGGAAATATTTACTAGAACGAACCATGATGTCTCTCTGGGACATCACCAGGGTGGGCTAGGGTGTATCTCTTGGTGATTTCGGTTGTTGAACCCTGGGAGGATATAACAGCTTTTACTTTCCCCTCGGGATGGTGATATTATCCCTGGGGTTTCCTCGAGGATAGCCCACGCCCGGAGCCGATGTGAACTGATAGACCTGGTATATATGGATAACCATTTATGGTTGCTTTATCCTTTTCTTTTTCGGGTATGGACACTAGTGAGTTCCATCGTGGCATGTTAGAGAGCGTGCTAGGTATTATGTTCCCTCTACCTTGACATTTGTTGATATAACCCAGGGAGGGATATATATATATATATATATGCTTGTGTATACGCACATATAAAATGAAAACGAAAATGGCGAGAGCTTTCACCCTCATACACACACAGGAGCCCCAAATAATACACTGGTGTCCCCTATGTAAAAATCCAAATTTGATATTGGTCAAGTATTGAGTTCCACATGAAGAGCACTGGTCCTCGGTGTGGTTCCTGTCATATCCAGCTACTCTTTCTCAGGACCAATGGTTGAGCATCGCTATTTCAATTATTTAGAGAAACGACAGTCATATTAGTACGGAAAATGCTATTACCTTTTCTTGAATTGTCGTATTCTACCAAAATGTAGAATTTTGGAAACTCAACTATGCAAACAATGAATAGATCAACAATAGGGTTGTAGACTTAATTGATTTTAGATTGCTGAAATCATACAACAATCCGATGTAGTGTAGGGGTTATCACTGTGCTCTTTCACAGCACTAACGGGGGTTCGAATCCCCCCATCGGAGTTTCTTTTTTTCTCTTTTGTTTTTTTTTATATAGATTTTATGGTATGGCATACATACATACATGATTTTTTATTAAATAGATACTCCGAAAAAATCCTCTTGACATGCCTCTTTCTATTTTATCTCAACCAAATAAAATAGGTTTCTCTCACTTCAATAGACCCTACCCAGTAGCGCCATGGGGGAAGTTGGATATGACTAGAACTCATTAAACCACTTAGAAGTATCCTCAATATTGCTGCGCTTGTTCCAATCGGCCTCGCCGGTCATATCCCCGCATCAATATAAGCACAGATGCTACCTACTTAGGTAGTCCTGAAGGTATTCAGCCTAAAGCAACCCAACAGCTAACTTAGCCCTGAAGACACTCATCACAATAGGAAACGATCTACATACTAGTCGTACTTGAAGATTCATGCATTCTTCTGCGCATTAGCCTGTCCGGTGCCTTGTTTCCCCATATTCAATTATACTGCAGTGGCAAAATTGCTAGGCGCATAACCATATCCGGGGAAATTTGTCCACTCACGAAGGGTGCCCTCTCTTTGGGCTCCATTAAGGCACAGGTAAAAGGCTTGGCTCATATATTGACGGCAGATTACCGTGTCGGATTTGGCAATTTACGCTTCGTGGAATCTGCAGCACAGGTAGCGAACTTGAACAAATGTAACCTTGATATATTGCTCATTAGAATTTCCCACATACAATCCTGGATTAATGAGGGCAGTTAAGATGAGAAAGCACCGGCAGTACATTTTAAAGCCAAATGGCTTCAGGGTTGTCACTACCGCAACTGCCATGCGGGGTTGATCCTGCACGTTTGCCATTGGTAAGATTACATATGTCGGTAATATTCTGCACAAGAGGTCACATTGTGTACTGGCGCCACACCTTGAACTCCCAATTCGCGAAATAGGCCGCGACGTATCCGGTAACAGAATCTTGAAACGCCGGCCCGTGCTGGGGTCTCCATTCTGAAGTATTTGTCCTTACTGGACCCCGCAATGTGATCAACAGTAGCCAAGTACTTAGCGTGTGTGTCCTTCATCTTACCTTACATCTGATACTTCGGGATAACCCGCACACTATGATGTTCTATGTTTCCACAAATCAGATCACGACCTTTCGGCCTGTTATGCCTATTTCGGACTGGAAATGCGCAAACACGAGAGCGATTTATGCAGAGGCTTAGTTTATGCTTGGTAACTTTTACGAGAACGATCAGCATGTATGAGTAGAGCCTCGGTTTCAAATTAATGTTTTCCAGATGGAGAACCGTTCCAAGCACGATGTCAAAATAGAAAGTAAATATCTATAAATCAAGATAATAATGCATATCAACTGCTAGACAGCTGGTACAAGGGCCTTCACCTCACCCTGGTTTTGAACTGAAACGCTGTATACCCGGAAGGTCCGCAGAATAATCCTCCGTGTTTGGGCTTAACGCCCTGCGGATTACCCGTCACACAAAACGCCTTTTGGCGGTTTGATGTCAGTGGAGGAGCGCCGCGGCGCCCATTTCTATCTAGCGGTGTTCTTGGCAGGCCCCAACCCCTTCAACCCCACAAAATGTCTCATGATCCTTCAATGTTGTGGAAAATAGTTTAATTCTATAGCCAAATTTCCAGGACCGACCCTGAAAGATCGACAGGCAACATACCTCAAAGCGTCATAAGTTGTAGGCATGGTTCCCTGCACTAACAAACTCCCCGAATCTTATACAGCAATGGACAGAACTGGACCGGGGGATTCTCCGTTTTCACGGATGCTGAAACCGCTTAACCATGTTTGTCCACTCCATTATCAGTCAGGATCTTGACGAGACTTCTCACAACGGTCATCCAGCGATGATCATTCCCTTCCTGATTCAGGCCCCGTCTCCACCCTCAAATCAATGTACGACAAAGGAGGTCATCCAGTATGGAAGTTGATTCTAGATCGATGATTGTGGACTCTCCATCCGTACCAATTTGGTGACGGCCTCACGGTCCGTCACACCGGTCATGCTGTGCAGAAAGGACCCTGATTAAGCCTTGCATGACAATGACTTGGAGGAATCCGACGCGGGGAAAAAGACATATAAAGATCTATTCCCACCCCGAGATTATTTTTGTTCATCAACTGCAGGCCAGACAACAAGATAACAAGACAACAATCCTTTCGCTTCACCAGCAATGTATCAACGCGCCCTCCTTTTCTCCGCCCTGGCGGCGGCAGCCCGTGCTCAGCAAGTTGGCACATTGCAGACTGAGACTCATCCCTCTCTTACCTGGCAAAAGTGCACCGCCGAGGGCTCTTGCGCTGACCAGAAGGGTTCTGTTGTCATCGATTCCAACTGGCGCTGGCTCCACTCCGTCGATGGTTCCACCAACTGCTACACCGGCAACGAGGTAAGGAACCCCGAATCGAGAAGATGAGTGTTCATGGTGACTGACTTTTTTTTTTTTTTTTGATAACAGTGGGATGCAACTCTCTGCCCCGATGACGAGACTTGCGCCGCTAACTGTGCCCTGGACGGTGCCGACTACGTCAAGACATACGGTGCCACCACCGATGGCGACGCCCTGTCTTTGACCTTCGTCACTGGCGCCAACGTTGGCTCTCGTCTGTTCCTGATGGAGGACGAAGAGACCTACCAGATGTTCAAGCTGAAGAACCAGGAGTTCACCTTTGACGTCGACGCTTCCGAGCTTCCCTGCGGACTCAACGGAGCTCTGTACTTCGTCTCCATGGATGCCGATGGTGGCCTCTCCAGATTCGAGGGCAACAAGGCTGGTGCCAAGTACGGAACTGGCTACTGTGATTCCCAGTGTCCCCGTGACCTGAAGTTCATCAACGGTCTGGTGAGTTTTTATAATGATCAATGCAAAAAGATTCTGGGGAAATGACTAATGTGCGATACAGGCCAATGTTGAGGATTGGGTGCCTGCCGAAAACGACAAGAACGCCGGTGTTGGTGGCCACGGAGCCTGTTGCCCCGAGATGGATATCTGGGAGGCCAACAGCATCTCCACTGCTTACACCCCCCACCCTTGCGACAGCCCCGAGCAGGTCATGTGCGAGGGCGACGACTGTGGTGGAACTTACTCCGCCACCCGCTACGCCGGAACCTGTGATCCCGATGGATGCGACTTCAACTCCTTCCGCATGGGCAATGAGACCTTCTTCGGTCCCGGTATGACCGTCGACAGCAAGTCCAAGATGACCGTGGTCACTCAGTTCATCACCGCCGACGGCACCGACACCGGCGCCCTCAGCGAGATCAAGCGCATCTACGTCCAGGACGGAAAGGTTATTGCCAACTCTGCCTCTGAAGTCGCCGGTGTCGAGGGTAGCTCGATCACCGAGGACTTCTGCGCAGCCCAGAAGAAGGCCTTCGGCGATGAGGAGAGCTTCACTGCCCACGGTGGTCTTGCTGGTATGGGCGAGGGTTTGGACCAGGGAATGGTTCTTGTCATGAGCTTGTGGGATGACCACCACTCTAACATGCTCTGGTTGGACGGCGAGGCCTACCCCACTGATGCCTCTCCCTCCGACCCTGGTGTTCCCCGCGGCACATGCGCCACCACCTCCGGCGACCCAGAGACCGTCGAGAAGGAGGCCGCCGCCGCCAAGGTGATCTACTCCAACATCAAGGTCGGCCCCATTGGCTCCACCTTCGCTTCCTAAAGAGTCAAAATGACAGGCGCTTGCTGAAGCTCAACTACACCTGGAATGCGGGGTCTCCGTGCAGTATAAATCCCTGCGCCCAGTGGCAGCAAATGCCCAATTTGGAGGAAAGTGGTGAATGAGATATAGGGTTTCTTTCATTGATAGTTATCTGTATTCTTGATTTCATTTTGTCTTTTTAGAATCAGAGTTGTTTTATCAGAATTGAATTGATATATTGATTTCGTCTATTTGAACTTGGAACTAGTAACCTTGGAAAGAAGGCGGTCGATATATTCTCGGCCCGGCAGAAAAAAAAACGGCCAGCTCTAAAGCTCTAGCTTTCGCAATTCATTCTCTTGATTTAATTCACACAAGTTCAGATTTTTTTTTTACTAGGCCCACGAGAATACTTCGGATTTTGTGTTTATCGCAAACATGTTTGACACGGTCTGCACGCTTCCGCTTTCCTCGGACTTGTTCGCTCAAGCTATCCACCCCGAGGAGCCCGTAGTCTCTGTCGGTCTGGCCTCGGGCCACGTCCAGACCTTCCGACTGCCTTCCTTAGAAGTAGAGGATGATGAAAATGTCGCCTCGAATTCGTCTGCCCGGACCGGAAAGGGTCACATCGACACAATGTGGAGAACTCGGCGACACAAGGGTAGTTGTCGCACCCTAGGGTTTGGCATCGATGGCAAAACACTTTACTCGGCTGGTACAGACGGTATCGTGAAGGCTGCAAGCACCGAGACTGGTCAGGTGCAAAACAAGATCGTGATTCCTTTTGAGAAGAACGGGTAAAGGAACTCTTCCGAATATCAAGCGTTGCAATCTAGACCTTTGCATTTGGCTGACATGTTTGTTTTTTTGCGATGTCATATAGCTCTGTTGATGCGCCAACCATGATTCACGCCCTCTCTCCTCAAACTCTTCTCCTCGGTACTGATTCGAGCGCCCTGCACATCTACGATCTCCGTATTCCCTATTCCAAGGTATCCGCGCGCCCTGAGCAGTCGCACCACCCCCACGACGACTACATCTCCTCTCTCACTCCTCTGCCGGCTTCCGACACTAGCACTTCTGGCTTCAGCAAGCAGTGGGTTACCACTGGTGGAACAACTCTGGCCGTGACAGATCTCCGGAGAGGCGTTTTGGTGCGCAGCGAGAACCAGGAAGAGGAACTGGTCAGCTCCGTCTTTATGCGTGGTCTGCCTTCGAGCGGAACCAGCCGTGGCGAAAAGCTCATTGTTGGTGGAGCCAGCGGTATCATGACTCTCTGGGAGAAGGGTGCATGGGATGACCAGGATGACCGGATCTATGTCGACCGTACCGATGGCGGAGATTCCATCGAGACAATGTCAGTTGCGCCTGACTACTTGGGCAAGGTGGTGGCCGCAGGCCTCTCAAACGGAAAAGTGAAGTTCGTCCGCATCGGACCCAATCAAGTCATTTCTGAAGTTGTGCACGATGAGATTGATGGTGTTGTGGGCTTGGGCTTTGACGTCGAGGGCCGTATGGTCTCTGGTGGTGGTCAGACAGTTAAGGTGTGGCACGAGGCTGAGGACAATGCTGGTGATGGATCTGGCGACGAAGACATGATGGATGATAGTGATGACGATAAAGATTCGGATGACAGCGATGTGGAACGTCACCAGGAGCCGAAGGACCGAAAGAAGCGCAAGAAGTCCAAGGGCAGGGACCTCAGTGGTGCACAGCATGTCATGGCCTTCCACGACCTGGACTAATGTCTCAATACCTCATTATCTGATACCCACATCTGCAGATCATTATTCAGCCCCAAAATAAGAAAAAGTGTATATAGCGTCGGTGTTAGGGTTTCCAAGAGCCAATTGGAGGAAGCATATCTATCTCTAGATGGCGAGAGATAATATACTCCCTATGTATTCATGTTCCCCGTTTGAAAACAATGAGAAGGAAAATAAATGCTTTCCCCTTTTACTCCAAGTTGTTGGGCGTCAGTGCCTAGGAATCGCAGTATATATTGATACTATTGCTCCCTTGCTCTGCATAGTACCTCAAACCCACTCGCCTGATACCGAATCGAACCATACAAAAACCTTTGTTTAGCAGCATATCTAAGTCGAAAGAACGCAATAACACAGATCATTCTTCAAGCAAGTCAGACCACTCTGGAATCTCCTTGATGAGCTTCCACATGTACTTCTCCAGCCTGACTGCACACTTGGCATATACAGTTGTAGAGTCATTATACTGCTGACAATTACTGAAAATCAACTTGAGATCGTCGACAAGTTCTTTCGGAGTAGTGTAACGCTCCAATCGTCCTTCTATAGTCGACAGATCCATCGGCGATACAATGGCATCGTAATAACCAGGGACTTCGTCTTTGTTGACTGGATTGAGGAAGGGCCATGCTTGTTTGTGGTTTTGGATTTGATTCATAAATCGTCGGAATTCGTTGAAATGAGGTCCTCTGGAACGGGACCCGTGGTATGATTCTCGTGCCAACTCGTCCATTTCTGGAGACCAACCAGTTTCCTGGATGGCAGGGATAGAGAGTGGGTCGATTGGAACCACGACGCCGTTAGCCCATTGCTGAGGTGGGAGATGAATGATATGACTTTTGCTCGAGGTACGTATTTTGGCTAGAACGGATTCTTTCTGCTTAAGAAGCATTCGACCAATTTCGAGATACCGTATTCGGGCAAGCATAGAGCATTGCATAATTGTTCCTCCTTCGTAATCCTTGATACACCCCATCCAGATCGACTTGTTGAGAGTGATATCTTTGGTAAAACCTTGCTTTTGAAAATACCCGATGGCAAGGTTATCGGCATAGGTTAGAAAATGCATAACTGGAGAAGTAGCTCTGACATAATCCTTTAAATGGGCCATAAGATGTGCTCCGTATCCTTTCTCTTGCTGATCAGTTGAGACCGCGCAAAAAACGATTTCGGCGAAGTTGCGGTCTCGGAATTCTCGAAATGATATACCGCCAATGACCTCTAGAGGCATTTTGACGATAGCGATTGATAAATGAGTGCGATCGTAGACGAGACGTGCGATGTAGTCCTTAGGCATTTCCGGAAGTTGCCTTTGAAATAGGCATTTAAGACCTGTAAGGATAATCGTACTCTCTCTGGAGCCATCATTGTTGACAACTCGGAACTCGATCTCGCCATTTCGTTCTTCCAAGACTGCAGGCTTTGGAACAATTAGAACGTTGATTGTCAAATTTCCAAAGATCTTGGCATACCTTCTCTGGGAAAGGAACTCCCCGAGCTATAGCTGTGGTTTTAACATTCGACTCTATCAACCCATCATGAAGGCTTTTGGCTCTTTTGGCATCGGGGGCACTCTTCAGCTCTTCACAAGCCGTGCGCTTTGTGATGAAGAGGTCTGACCCGCTGTCGATTGAAAATGATTGTGACTCTGCTTTGGCCATTTGCGTATATTGGCCAAACTTGCGATAGGTAATATGCAAACTAGTATATATTATCGCAGCCTTTGCCAATTATGGAAATGTCGAGTAATATAGTGACTAGTAGGATCCGAGGTTAGATGTTAATCATAGGACTAGTGGTCAATACTCACTGGGATCGATAAGCGGGGCCCCTTGTTTTCGCTATAAACACAATTTGGTTTTGATTTTGAGATGTACTGTATGCTTTTTTTTTCTAGGGAAGGCACATAGAAGACCAGAAGAGAGAAAGAAAACTATGTAGCCGGGCTCTATAGAGAGCGCACGGGAGATACTAGTAGAAGAGAGGAGAGGGGGTGGAGTAGAGATCTACTAGTCCGATCTCTATGTTGTACTTTAAATGACCATGTCACGTGAGTTCGATGCTTCAGACATACTTGGGAATCCATAACATGCGCAACAGAGTAATCTCGTGCCAGAAGGCTTATAATATACATTAAATTTAGCTATCTCTAAAACCTTGGCTTTACCATGTCGGGAGAGCATTTTTCACAGGCGGTTCACTCTGTTGATTGGGCCGCGTCTCATGGGTGATATCAATCTGATTGGAGACCATGATAGCACCCGTGGACGTTTTGTCATTCAGAGGGGCCGGATATGTTTTTATGTTCTGCATTTTAACATCTTCCATCATCCGTTCCTCACTCTCGGTGAATGACATACCAAGGGTCATAGGATCCGTACTCGCATCCCCGCGACTCTTCCGACTGGGGTAGTCACCCCCGCCACCAATGCTGCGGAAACCATTCGAGGGGGATTTATGTGTCTTCTGAGACAACTGAAACTGACTGCCAAGAATTTGGCTGAGCCAGATTCTAAATAGGTGAAAGATCATGGGAAGATTGGTCGTGACGACTGCGACAAAAGTTTCGCGAGTGCCCCATTCGTCGGCGAGTTTTGCGCCATTTTCAGGCTCCTATAGAAAATGACAGATCAAATTAGACAAATACCTTTAAGCGAGGGACAATATGAATAAATAAGAAACTCACCACTAGGAGGAAAACACTCTTAATAGTGGCACAGACAAGAATGAAGACACCTGCACTGAGTACAATAGTGGCCGCGATCTTCTTCAAAGGCTTCAGACTCGATTGCCAAAGCATGGGAATTGGGATAAAGATGAGGTATGGATCGGTAAGGAGGTTTGCGGCGAAGGTTACTGCAATGACCGGCTTGGCAATGGCTGGTTGGCACACGTCTAGAGATATAGTTAGCATCTGATAGCCACTAATAATGTCAAGATGGGAATCTGACTGCCGGGATCTGGATTGATTTGCCAGTTTTTATGGAATGGTCGGCATGCGGCAAAGATTGTGATGACACTGGCGAGAAAGCTCGCCAGGACAAAGGCAACTCCGACATAGATTGGAATTTGATAACGCCGGCCAAGGCCCTCCTATTTGGTATTAGTTACTCGTTGCGAACTATAGGTTGCTAGAAATCGAGATTATTACCATCAGTCGAACGTAGAATGCCAGCATAGACAATTTGAGTGAATTAATCAATGCCACATAAGTAGTCCAGCCCGCAATTTGAATCTTGGAACCGATCACTCTAACAAAATAGTTAGTGATCGCATTCACAATTTCCCTTCGATCGACAATTGGTGGATACGTACCTGGCGCGGTAAGTAGGGTTGTCGGGCAATAGTGCCTCTCGCTGGGCGGTTGTCATGCCATTGTTGGCGAGGCCATTAGACACATTGCCCACACTATGCGCCAGCGACGCCTGTGCAGTGTAGAGGACCTGCATTGGAAATTAGTGACTAGTAGGATGATATTGGATCAATTGGAATCCATTACAATTCCAACCCATACGAGGTAATCGTCGAGTCGTAAATTCCTCAATCCTCCACTTCTCGATCGAGCATATGTTCTAAGAATTGTCACAGCAACACCAATTGAGTATAGTGTCCATAATTCAACTGTGGCCTTGTAGGCATCCGACGCGGCATCTCGTGGCTCTAAGCCAAATGCCATGAAGTTTGACATTTGTGAATAGAGGGGGGGGGGTTAGCGTAACAAAGATTTACAGATGAGAATGAAAAAGGTAAAAATAGTTGACTTGACCATCTTCCCTGTACTAGCGCGAATCTCTCTTGGATCGCTGGAGTTTCGCCCCCAAAAGGACCAATTCATTACAGAAAATGAGGATGGGGTTACGAGTTATTGGAGAACGTGGTGGCGTCTATGCTCTCCATCCTCGTTAGAGTGTACCAAAAGGGTCTAGTTTAACAATCCACCAGTACCATGGTTTCCCGAAGCCACATATCCAGACTTATGATAAAGTTTTATCTAAATTAGTATGTACATGAAAGACTGCATGTGGATTCTTCAGCTGACCACGTTTGCGTAGAACGCTTACCTGGATTCGGTATTAGATAAATTGAGGAATATGACAGGGGGTCTCTTTACGTGGCCCCCTGAAGAAAAAAACATTAATCTAGAACAAATAGAATTTGATAATAAATTAAGTGGCATTCCTAAATTAAATCCTTAGAAATTTAAGACACATGGCCACTCGCGAGATACTAGTGGATCCTTTGCGAGGCGCGAGGGATGCACCATCCCCACAGGTTTGGGGTCAAGCCGGCTATTGTATCCAACCACGATGCAGGCACGTTCCAAGCGAGATAGTGTGGCTTTTTTGTTCCGATGGTTGCGCTTATTAAGGTGATTCGGGCTGATGGATGTAACCATAGCCCCTGCATTAGTGTGCAGAAAGTGCGGCAGTTTCCAATGGGAGAAATAGGGCAGAACCACGGGACGAAACTTGGAGAGTTGGGGATATCACGGATGGTAGATTCACAGCCAGAACATATCGTAGAGTGGAGTGGAAATCGGTAAATCGGTAAATCGTGTAAAAGTGGAGTCTTTGTCGGTTCCTTATCTTTTTTTCGTCTTATAGCTATGCCATTGAGGTTTTTTTTCACGGAATACGGAAGATAGAGTATACTCCGTCTATCAAGAGGAGTCAATCTAACCGAGCTAACCCTAGGGTAGTTTTACTGCCGTAAATAACGTGTAATAAATAGTTAGAGCACCACAGAACTGACAGGCTCATCTCGATAGTGTTTATCCACTTTTTTTTCTGACGTCCTCTGACGATCAAACGCAAGGGGCATTTGGTTTTTCCTTTTTCTCTTGTCTTTAATAATTCAGGACATTCTTTTTTTTTGGGAATGTATTTCAAGACAGAGGTGATCACCGCCGTTGCGGCTTGGGCTCTTTCCGCCGCCTCTCTGAGTTTCTATAGCGACTGTGATTATATCGAGGGCGGTCTTTGCCCGCGAGGCGATGCTGATTTGCAGGCCCTCGGGAAGGAGCTTTCGAGCACTGCCAAGCTGTATTTTCCCGGATCGACTGGATTCAAGGATCTCACAACGCGGTGGTCTACCCTGGCAGAGCCTACGGTGAACGTCGTCGTCGTGCCCGGCAATGAGAACGATGTTGTCAAAACGGTGAGTGAATATTTTTTTCTTTGTTTTTTTTATTTTTTGAACAAATTTCTATATATGTCAATTGGGCAAAGACAGACACTAATTACAACGATGGTTTAGGTGAAATTCGCCAACAAGCAGGACCTGCCCTTCCTCACGTTCAATGGTGTCCACGGAGCCCTCGTTTCATTGGGTAAGATGGACCATGGCGTCGGAATCTCTCTGAGCCAGCTGAACAGCGTCAAAATCGCCGATGATGGAAAGACAGTCACGATCGGTGGAGGAACCATGTCCAAGAAGGTCACCGACACCCTTTGGGCTGCAGAAAGGCAGACAGTTACTGGAACCTGTGAATGTGTCAGTGTTCTAGGACCAGCTCTTGGGGGTGGACATGGATGGCTGCAGGGCCACCACGGACTCGTCTCTGATCAATTCGTCTCGATGAATGTCGTTCTCGCCGACGGCACCTTAAAGACGATTGATGAAACCTCCGACCTCTTCTGGGCGATGAAGGGTGCTGGCCACAACTTCGGCATTGTGACTTCTCTCACCAGCAAGATCTACCCAATCGAGCACCGCGACTGGGCTATCGAGACGATCACTTTCAGCGGCGATAAGGTCGAGGCTGTCTACCAAGCTACCAACGACTATCTTCTGAACCAGGCCGCGGAGGTCATCAGCTGGTCGTACTGGATGAATGTCCCCGAAATTGACGCTACCAACCCCGTCATCGTACTCTATCTGATCCAGGAGGGAGTGACAGTCGTCGACCCAGTTTACACCAAGCCTTTCCACGACATCGGACCGCTTGCCACTGTACCCCAGGCAGGCAGCTACCAGGACCTCGCTGCATGGACCGGCATTGCCCTAGACTCTCCCCCATGCCAGAATATGGGCATGGCCAACCCCCGCTTCCCCATCTACCTCGAAAAATACGACGTCGCGGCTCAGAAGATGGCATGGGACATCTACGCACCTGCCGTCCGTGGAGACTCTCCCTTCAACTATTCAATCTTCATGTTCGAGGGTTACTCCGAAGGAGGCGTCCACGCCATCCCTAGCAGCTCGAGTGCTTTCCCCTTCCGCAGCGAGAATATCCTTGCCGCCCCGCTCATCAACTACGTGCCTGTCGATGCAGCACTTGAGAACAAGGCGTCTGCTTTGGGTAAACAGCTCCGCAACATCCTCCACGAAGCCACTGGCCGCACGGATATTCGCGCATATGTCAACTATGCCCACGGAGACGAGACAACGCACCAGCTGTATGGTGACAGCCAAGAGCGCCTGCTCGCCCTGAAGACGAAGTACGACCCGACTGGCAAGTTTAGCTTCTACGCACCGATCGCATAGATGGACTGAGCAAGGGCCTGAGGATTTGTACGTATAACAACTTGTTGCCTGTATGTACAATACGCACGTGGAGATATGATCATTTGAATAGTCTATAAATAATTTGATCCAATTTACTACTATCTTGACACCTCTAGAGCTGTGTATGCTTGAAGCGTTAGGTATCACTTCAAGTCACAGACAAACCCTCCGTGAATTAATTATTAATGTAAGCTACCTGAATATGAGCCTGGACTGAAATTCAAGCCTGACCCTCATAGAAAGCGACCTCGGAACAGCTAATATATCAAAGCCCCACCCGGCAGTTTGAGGAAATTTATATCCGTTCGCCTACATAGATCCACGGGTATTTCCGTCGATCCTTCACTATGATCGAAACAACTACGGCCACACATGGGGAATTGGGGGTACTAAAATCAGACACGAAGTATAAATTAACATGCCAAATTGACCATTAAATGGACAAACCGCCAATCGACTTTACAATGACTCGGAGAAGCACCATAGTACAACTGCCGATAAAACCCCACGGCCCCACGGAAGGACATGATGTTCATCAAATGCGGCGGGGTGTGGAGAGCGGACTATAAAATGGCAAGTCTCGCCCTTGGATGATTTCAAACACAAAATGGATACCTTTGAATACAATCCCAACCCCGGCCGTGTCGTCTTCGGTAGCGGCACGGTGCTAAAACTCCCCGATGAGATCTCCCGCCTGCAGTTGAAGGCCCCGCTAGTGCTCTCGACACCCCAGCAGGTCAGACATGCCGAGACAATCAAGGAGGTGCTCAACGGTCAGATCGCCGGTATTTTCACCGAGGCGACTATGCATACTCCCACGGATGTCACAGACAAGGCTCTGGAGTATGCGAAGACCCAAGGAGCCGATTCGGTCATTTCTATTGGAGGTGGGAGCACTATCGGTCTCGGCAAGGCAATCAGCATTCGCACTGGACTGCCACATATCTGTATTCCGACTACATATGCTGGTAGCGAAATGACCCCGATCCTCGGTGAGACTGCCGATGGATTGAAGAAGACTCGCTCCGACCCCAAAATCCTGCCTGGCACAGTCATCTACGATGTGGACCTCACAATGACCCTACCGGCGGCTATGAGTGCCACTAGCGGTGTTAACGCCATTGCGCATGCCGGTAAATATGCCTGATTAATCTGCATCAACTTCCTGTGCATCACTAATGCGTTGCTGAATAGTCGAGGCTCTCTACGCGCGCAACACTAACCCAATCATCAACATGATGGCACTCGAGGGTATACGGGCACTTGCGTCAGCCCTTCCCGAGATTGTTGAGAACCCGTCTTCTCAATCCGCACGGTCCAAGGCCTTATATGGTGCCTGGCTCTGTGGAACATGTTTGGGTAGCGTGGGAATGTCTATCCACCACAAGCTGTGCCACACACTTGGCGGTAGCTTCAATCTTCCCCACGCTGAAACTCATACCGCTGTCCTTCCTCATGCCATCTCATACAATGCACCTAATATTCCTGAGGTTATGAAGCAGTTGGCCGACGCCCTGCCGGATAGCAATAGCGATGCGATTCACGGTTTGAACGTTCTCTTGACTAAGCTCAAGGTTAAGCGCGGCGTGAAGGATTTCGGCATGAAGGAAGAAGATATCGATAAAGCGGCTGATATTGCGCTATCCAATGCTTACTGGAATCCTCGGCCAGTTGAACGCGCGCCGATCCGCGAACTGATTCGCAGGGTTTGGGCGGGAGAGCCTGCTCAGGCGAACTTGTAGATATCCTTTGCTTTTTGATGTTGCCACGATGAAATGCGTAAATAGCCCTATCGAATAGTTTGAGTATATCAATACCAAAATGCGATTATAGGAAGTTGGGTTGCTCTGCCAATAGGCTCTTGTATTTTCCCGTTATCGATGGCGGGGTGAAGTGGGGGGAATCTTTTTTTTTCTCCAAAAACTCTTCGCATTAGTTATTCTTAACTCAACACCAACGATTTCCCGTATATCTTACAAAATGGGGTCTGAAATGAAGTCGGCCCCTGTGCTGTCGACTGCTGATGATCGTATTCTCGAAGAAACCAATCCAGTGGCCGTGCGAGACTCAACGGCCGCCGCCGTATCAGACGATGAACTGTCCATTACCTACGATATCGAGCGCACGCTGAAGGAGATTCGGCAAGCACGATACAAGCGAATTGCTCTCCAGTTCCCAGATGATATGCTTCCTGATGCCCCGCGAGTATTTCAATTGCTCAGTCGGGGCCTGGAACGCGAGGAAGTCGGCACCAATGGCATACAGTCCTCGAACCAGACCGATGCCGACCTTGCTCACTCGATAAATGAGCTCCAAGTGGAGGATAAAACGGAAAAAGCCTTACCTCGGTTGACAATTTTGGCCGATACATCCTACGGGACCTGTTGCGTTGACGAAGTGGCCGCGGAACATGTGGACGCAGATGTGGTTGTGCATTACGGGAGGTCCTGTCTGTCCCCAACAGCACGGCTACCCGTGATCTATGTTTTCACGCACAAGAATCTGCCTCTTGAGCCAGTGGTACGAGCGTTCAAGGCAACTTACCCTGAACCAACGACCAAGGTTGTCATCGCAGCCGACGTCACCTATGCAGACCACGTTCCTACGGTATACAATCGCCTGGTGGAAGAGGGATATACCAACCTGTTTGCAACGGAGGTTGTTCATGAGCCTTCCTCACCTATTCCCAATCGTACAGTCCCTGAGTCGGTTCAGGAGGCTCCCGAGACGCTGACTGACTGGCAACTGTTTCATATCTCGGATCCGCCAACGGCCCTCATGATGACACTTGCGTCTCGCGTTGCCGCGATCCATATCTATCCCACCAATGACCTTTCAAATGAGAATATTAAGCCATTGCCTGCTTCAACTGCTGCGGTTTTGCGACGCCGCTATGGCACTCTTGCCTCTCTGACGACCGTTCCTGTTTGGGGCATTCTTATCAACACTTTGAGTGTCAAGAACTACTTGCATATTGTGGAACATGTCAAGGAAAGAATTGCCAAAGCAGGCAAGAAGAGCTACATGTTCGTGGTTGGTAAATTGAACGCTGCCAAGGTTGCCAATTTCAGTGAAATTGGTGGTTGGGTGGTTATTGGCTGCTGGGAAAGCTCTTTGGTGGATAGCACGGATTTCTGGAAGCCTGTTATCACACCCTTCGAATTGGAGCTGGCCTTGAAAGACGACTCAGACCGGGTGTGGACAGGAGCGTGGCAGAGTGACTTCCAGGCAGTCCTTGACGCACCAGCCCAGGAGGTCAACGGAAATGGAGATGAGCAGGGGACATCCAATGGCGCAGCCATGTCCGACGAGGACGACATGTCAGAACCCGAGTCGGCACCGCCCGAATTTGACCTGCGCACCGGTCGATACGTCTCAAATTCCCGTCCAATGCGGGAACCCGCGGCCCGCGCTTCGCAGGTTGATGCATCATCCACCACTGGGCCATCCGCTGCTAGGGCGCTGGCGCGACGAGCTAAGGGTGACTTGGCTATGATCGGTGGTGCCGTTTCACCAGGAGCAGAATACTTGCGATCGCAACGGACATGGACAGGTCTGGGTAGTGACTTTAATATTCGATATGATGAGGAAGACGCGGAGGATAGTACCCTGGTCAAGGAAGGGCGCAAGGGTATTGCGAGGGGCTACACTGTAGGCGATGCAACCGACAAACATTAGCCCACATGGCCTAGCATAGAAACCATTTGCACTAGACTCAGCGATCAATGCATTTCTTTTTTTTGCTTTGCACGAAATCTGTGTACCACACAGATCATCAAAATCTGGGGGTTTGATGGCCAGCCATCACATGACGGTCTCCTAACGGGCGCATCCGGATATCACCTCGTCTCGCTCACCTCACTTCCCTTTTTTTTTTTTCTCCCGCTCCTTTCTTTAGGATCATAGGGATATAAAAACACTTTCTATCTTTCATTGCTTTCCCCCTCTCTTTGGGGATTTCGTCTTTCCCCCTCATTTTTATACCCCTCTCTTTCTCCCTTCCCCCTTCTGATACCCCAATTCCTCCTTGCGACCCCCCGTATTCTCAATTATCGGCTGTTTACCTTTCATGGCCTTGCATAGTGGCTTACCTCAGGGTGTGCTTGCCCCCTCGATTGCATCGTCAAGTTGTCTTATCATGTGCCGCGTCTCTACCCGCCGAGCTCGCGACCTCGCGCTATCTCGATTTTCGACCTAAGCACTGGCTTTTGTTCGCCTAGGACCTATGACGACTCACGGTCTTGAAACCATGGCTAGGGGGGATGGTGTTGGTGAGGACCCAGCGTCGCACCCGACGGTGCTGGAAAATACCTTGCAACACTTTGTTATCCCAGAAGAACGAACCCTTTCCACCTTTGAGCGAGTGATAACAACAAATGCACCTATATTCGAGTCTCTGTTACTCCAGATCCCGACCGATACTATCATAAAGCTGTATCACACTTCAAATTACCTCCGTACTTTCCTTCGATCATATCCGACCGCATGGAAGTCACTCTCGTTTCGCCTACAATTTCCTTCAGGCACCCTACCGAATCCTCAAATCAATGACCCAAGCGTCACTGAAACAGCCCCTGCGCGTCAATCGCGACCTTATGCCCTAGACATGTTCCTGATGAATGTGGTGATCCCATTCAGTAGGTGTTTGAAAAGCCTAGAACTGGATAACACGGCCATTTCGGGAGAGAACTTGACCTCGACCGTACTGCATTCACGCCGGGAGACGCTGGTACATCTCTCTGTTCGAGGCTGCAAGAATGTCTCTTTGAAATATCACATCGTTCCTTTCCTGACCATGTTCGCGCTACAATATGACATTGACATGGGGAATAATACTGGCAGCTCTCCCGGGATAAAACGACTTGCTCTCAAGAGTATCTACGCCTACCGATGTCGTCATCACAGAAGACGCCCTTATCTCTCATCTTCACTGATGCGGAAAGACGCTGACGCGGAGTCGACCCATGAACTTGTCAATA